GAAATAATCAGCTCGTCCCACATCAATTCAAGTTCTAAACCCATTTCTGAAGAGAGACGAGTCTGTCAACACTAGCTATTTTTCTCTAAAAAGTACTATACCGGGACCGGCAATTAAAACATTTGTCAAAATTCAGAAGTATGGCTCTGGAAAAGTTAATAAAAATATTAATTTTATTTTTGGTCACATTTATGACTAGTGGAAAACTACAGAGTTAAAAGTTGCATCGATTGGTCAATCAGACACAATTACATGAGTACATAATAACAGAAATTATATGACATTAATAATACAAAATAACTGAACAGATAAAAAGCAAAACAAATAAGAAAAAGAATCAGAATACTGTTATAAAAATGGAAAATGCTGCATGTAGCCTCTATTGAGTCATTATGTTTCTAGCATTTCCAAAATCTTAAACAAAGTCAAAGAAACAGTGAATAGGAGCCACATTGTGTTTTCCCATGGGTCACAATTCTGACTGTTCAGATGTTTGTATCTTCTGATAAAATACACCATTCAGCAGATTCAATCAAAGCAGGGATTGAGTGCTAGAGACCCTCCAACACCGGCTGTGCTTTAGTTTCAAAAGTGTGACACCTTACGTACCGCTAGCAGGCTCAAACAGAACTACAGCATTTTAGCATAACTTTGAAAACTTAAAATCATTTGACAACAGATATTAGAAAAACAAGATTGTTTTCAGAATGGCTGCTGAAATACTACACATGCATTTTGAGGACAGAGATGACAAGGCAAGAGACGCTCTGTACAACTAGATACCAATACACACTGTCAGTAACAGCATAAAAACATCTACTGTCAGCACTGAGAAAAACGATCACAGACCTGTACGCATACACAGGAGAGACTTCAACTGACTTATATAAGCTGAAAAAATGGCTGATTGTTAAGATTATTCATGTATTTGTATCGTAATTTTATTCTGTGTATTTTCATTTTTTTAATTAAAATTGTGAAAAAAATCTATTGCCTGTTGTCGGGGTGCATATTTTTGTCTCACCACTTGACAATACAGTCAAGAACAGATATACCCAGCAAACCACTTTTAGGCACTTTACGCACCTTTTTTCTTAAGGGTTTAAGTGTCTATGCACTATATACTGTGCCCTCCACACATATTGGTACCCCTGGTAATCATGAGCAAAACAGCCTGTAAAAAGCATTCTTTACTGCTTATCTTTCATTATCAATTCAGAATATTAACAAAAACATGGTTCCACTGAAAGTTACTGTAACATTTGGCAAACTGTATAAACTTGAGTTTGTTGGTCCTTGAAAGCAAAGGTCTCCTTCTGGCAAACCCCTTGTGGTTATACCCAACTTGTGGTTTTACAGGTGGTCTTTGATTGTGGTTTGGGAAACATTCTGACCCCAGGACCCAACTATGTTATTTTTAGATGATCTTTAATAAACAGTTGCTGCTTGAATTTTAATTTTGTGGAATATATGCATAATGTGTGGACAAATTAAACAAACTGATGAGTTAATTTGCTAATAAATATTAATAATGCCAGTCCCTTATGCAGTGAGTGCATCTTTACACACTGCACTGAAGTCAGGCAAGGACTCAAGCTGTAGACTAAAGCCCTTCCTGACTTTCCTCTTAAATTAAGAGCTTTTCATGTTACTTAAGATGGCGTGAGATGAAGATGGGCATGGAGGGGAGAAATTTAGAACTCAACTTTGAGGCTTAAATTAAACTCTTAATCTCTGGAAGAGTTTTTTAGGACTCTTTAGGACTCTTTCCAAACCGCTGTCCTTCAGCATGGAGATAGGCACAAATGTGACACACTGCTGGTGGCAGACGCTATTTTGAGACAGTCCCATGTTTCAGGTCTTATGTTACCTTCATGTGTTTCTTGTAAAGCACAGGTCATCGCCTTAACCCCTCCAAGGCCACTTGACCTTTCTAATTAGGTTCCTTTTTTAATAAAGAGGAGATCTCATCAGTGAAACAAGTAGTACTTTGTAGAAGATGTGCAGAAACATCCTGTTCAGTATCAGTGCTGTAAGAGAAAGCATTGAATGCGGTAGAAAAACTGAGCAAAACATGCAAAGGTTCAAGAAAATACACACATACGCACACACAGCTACACAGGTTCTCAGTGCACTACAGCTCAAAAAAAGGCCACTGAAACCCTGTTTCTGTTCAACTTCAATCCAACCTCCAATGTACCAATGGTTTAATTCAGTAATCTATTAATATATGCCTATTGTGGCATGAGGATCAGACCATTACTCCCACACTTGTCCGTTTGAAGCAGCCAGAAACAAAAGCATAACTCCTAAGCATAACCGATACCTGAGCATACTGGGATTGATCTCATTGCTCTAAACACGTCCCAGCTTCAGCAGTGTTACCAGTTTGCATGGCCATAATTGTGCCTGTCCCATAAACATTCTGTCAGTAGTGTTCTTCAAACAATTATCTAGGCTAATGAAACTTTGCTAGAAGTGGGCAATATGACCAGAAGCAAACTGGACATCTGCTCATTTTGCCATTATTATTTAATTCATTATATTTTTTCATGTTTCTTCTTAAATATGTCATTTTTGCAAATGTTGAATAAAAAACTATGATGGAATAGACAAAACCGCTGTAGTGGTTAGAAACAGTACTGCCAAATATGAAAAAGGCTATGAAAAACTTTGAGTGAACTTCTTAGTTGTTATTGTTATTGTTCGTTTTAATTGTTCTACCAATCTTGATGTTATATTTTTGTCAATCTTGATGTTATATTTTGGCCCATTTCCTACAGGACCTACAATCAACTTTTTTATTTTTGCTTTTTTTTTCTTGAACCACTTTGAGCAGTTTTATGAACCAAAAACAGTCATAATTTATTTTTTCATGACCATTTTCCAAACTCTCTTCATTCCCTTAAAATTAAACAGGCTGTTTTTTGTTACTGTGCCTTTAAGACTGCTATATGTAAACAATCTCATCTCTGTTCTGATTGGCTGCCCTTATTCAAAAGGCAGTTCGAGTTGAAACACTCCGTATAACTTCTGCATGAATGGGCGGAGCTATACTGTTGTAGGCAATATAGGCAAATATAAAAGGTGTTGGTTTTTGTGACATCACAGAGATTATGAATTTAAAAAAGGGTGTTTTTGCAGCTTAGTTTCCATATATGGACTGTATGGACTGGAGACTGAATGGTACGTTCTCAAACTTTAACAATGTTTACATACTATGTCCAACTCTTTTACTCTATAAAACTGAGGCAAATTCAGTTTTCCACCGTATGGGCACTTTATACTTTACTATGGTGAAACTACTGATGTCTCTGAACAGAAGGCTGTCCCTAAAAAGTCAATGTTGACTTTGAAGGACTATGCACTCTATGAGGATTCTTGATAAACTGGCATTTCATTAATCACACGTTCCCTGATCCGGTTGGGCTGCATAAAATTAATCACAGCACAGACGTGCAAACACATTGACACATCTGCATATGATCACAGTTCATCTTTCCTGTCCAGTAACTCAATCACATTAAAGATATCCTTTCAAGTGGAGAGCATCAAACATGCATAGTCACATCCAACCTTTTTTCTCCCTGTCCCCGTCTCCCTATCTCTGTCTCTCTCTGTCCTACACGTGTTCTCTCACTGTTAGGCTGGATCGAGTGTTTCCTAGGCTTTTAGAGCATGGGCAAGGGCTCTGATGGGGTAGGTATCAGAGTGGAATGTTTAATTCATAGCCAGATGCACTTTTAGGCCAGACACAGAGTGGTGTAAGTAGGGATATCCTACAGGGAAGACCCAGATAAAGCTATGCAAAACACAGAGCAGAAACAGCATCAGACACAGTGACAGCATCCTTTCTGTTTGTGCCCAGAAAGAGAGAGAGAGAGAGAGAGAGGCGGTGGGTCAGTTCATCCTACTCTGTATGAACTCTGCAGCAGCTCAGACATCACAGCACATTAAATGCTACTTTGTGTGTGAAACTGGGTTTTAGTGGGCAGACAAGTTTGTGTGTGTGTGTGTTTGTCTGTGTGAGTGTCTGTTAGTGAGCACAACTATTCTTACAAATACAGGAACAAGTCCTTTTAAGTTTTGGGGAACAATTAGTCATTAAAAAACAAATAATTCACTGCTGTTATCTATTTATAATAATTTATCTACCTTCACATTTGATTTTCAATTTCTCATTTCATGAACAGGAATTCCACCATTTTTTGCATAATTAAGTTGTTTAGATGTAAACAAAGTCATTCATAGTGGTTCATTCTAGAGAAACTTACAGAGTCAGAATTGTTCACAACAGTGGTGATAGGAACCAGACGTCTTAATGCCTCTAAAAGGTCAAGTAAAATGTTCTGTCTTGATTTTTTTTTTTTTTTAATCCATTCATGCAGGGTGTACATGCAGAGCACTGTAAGGCAAACTAGTACCCAAGAAAACATGTTTTTTTAGACTTACCACTATTTTACCATTATAAACTTTACATATTTAAATATTAACATGTAAAACGTGTAGGTTCACTGCTCATTTTAAATAGTGAATAAAAGGTAAATAAATAAAAATACACTTGTATGATAGATACAGAGACCTGTGGTTCCTATCACCAATGTTGTAAACAAATGCTAGTCAGTATTTTTCTGAATATTGAACCATTTCACATCAAACAAATTACGTTGCTTATCTGAACCACTAAATTATGCAGCAATTCTGAAAAATCTTCATCTTCTTTACTTTTCTTGTAGCCAAATTTCTATCAGCTTGTTACAAATTACTCTTATTCTGGACTATTCCAGAAGTAACATGTTAGAATTATTCTCTACATTTATCTGCAATTATTTTTAATTTTATTGTAGACATTGATTTCAAACTTTTGCAAGTAAGTCACAAGTGAAAATCAGCTTCCAGAACCTCAGTGCAGCACCCCTATTGTCCATTAATTGCACTGTTATGAATTCATACTAATCTTCTGCAATTTGACTGATGGTATGACAATGTATGAGTCCTACCTGCAGCGCGCTGTTGAGGAAGCAGCTGTTCTGGCCCGGCTCATTGCTCAGTCCTTTGCTGGGAGCGATGGAGGTCATGGTGCGCGGGGTGAACATCCCCTGCAGCCCGCTGCTGCCCGAAGCAAAGTAGTTCCGCTTCCACGACATGGGTCCAGCTCCGCTGCCTCAGCCAATCACCACCAAGGCCACTTCCTTCCCCAGCCAATCACGCAGGAGGAGGAGGGCATCATCCTGAACCAGGCGTGGGGGTGTGGCCAAGCAAGCGTGTGACTAATACGAATGTGCACGTGTGTATATAGAGAGAAAAGGCAGAGTTGTCAGTACTGGACTGGCTCCTATGTCACTCCCATGTGAGTGCTGTATGTATGGCTCAACTCCCTCCTGCTTATGTCAGAAGGACTCGTACAGATGGAGTTAGAAACCAAGAAATTAACAACTGTGTGGAGGTGTGCAGAGGACAGCGACGTTCCTTCTCTTAGGACCTGGCTGTCACGACAATCCTGCTGACCCCACCTGAGATGATGAAGTGGGGTCAGTTGCACTGAGTGGCCTGGTTAAGACTGGGCCGTTTGCTTGTACTGGTTTACAGGGGATCTGCGTGCGTGCTGGTATTTCACTCTGGTCCTGGAGTGAGGGAGTCTTGTGATAGCCAAGCCAGTGTGCTCTTCTTCAATCCTCCTCAACACAGAGTCATGAGAACAGAACCTTAGCTCTCATCCAAGCCTGTACAGAGAGAGAGAAAATAATAAAAACAGTAAGTTAATGGCACTCTCCCAGACATTACCTAAAGACTATTGAGAATCACTGTTCGAAAGTTTTCAATGGCAGCGTATCTCTGTTTATCAATAAAAAAGTGATGTTCGACATGTTTCCATCTCTAATTTGTGTATGTATGCCGCAACTTGTGTACCTTTGGCCTCCCTGTCTTCCCCATAACCTACTGATAAGGAAATGCTATTTATTTATTTGTTTGTTTGTTTGTTTGTGGAACTGTTAGAGGAAATATCACATATCTCTGCCATACAGCACTGAGCATTTTCCTTTTAGTAGCCTTTTCTAGACTTATCCTTTTAAAAACAAACTTGTCTCCTCCTCGCTCCAGCTATTCCTCTCCTCTATGCTGTTTGTGCTTCAGGTAAGATGCAGATGAGGGAAATCTTTAACATGACACTAAATTTATGCATAAATGCATTCTTTTTCTCAAAAAAATAAAACATGTTCCCAATTTGACATTTGTGACATTTCAGGTATTGATGAGCAATTTTTCTGCTAAAATTATTACAGATGATTTCCGTTTCCATAGTCTACATCAACAAACTTTTTGAAGCATTTTTCAAAAAAAAATTGGACAGAAATGTAGCTAGAAATGTATAAAATGATTCCAACATCCTAGTACTCTACAGGACACTGGCCTCACAGGCCACAGCACTGCAGAATTCAGCGTTCTGCCTTAACACAATGGATTCAACTCATTAGCTAATTAGCAAGACCTTTGTGAATTGAATTTAGTGCATTAGAAGAGAGAACATGCCAATCCCCACATAGCTATGGCCTGAAATGAACCCAGTTTGAAATGTCCAGCTTAGACGATGATGTAAATTTAGACTACTTATTATTAATAAAATCCTGATCCAAATTCAGTTACGATGTGACATGTGAGCGTTACGCACCCTAACCCTAAAGCTTCATTTTCCTTGATTGAAATATAATTATCATGTATCATCATCATATAATTATCATAATATAATTATAGTTATCAGCCGATTAACATCGGTCTACCATATCAGAGATCCCATCAAATACTGACTGAAAACATCAACAAACTGGAACCCTTCTTCTAAACAAGCTCATCCATTTTCACACTCTCTCATGGATAGTAAATCTCATGTAACAGCATTTTTGTTTTATTTCCATGAACAGTGTTCTGTAGTGTCCAGAGTAAGTATATGCATTTAATTAGCTAGTGATGTTCTGTTTGCATTATCTAGTGTGAACTAACCATAGGTTAAAATGATTGTAAAGAGGCAATGGTTAAACAAAGGCGAAGCAATAAAAAAAAATCATTTAACGTGAAAGAGAACAAAAGAAAGATATGTTTGCATAATAACTTGCAATACTTAATAACATCAATTATTGGCCCAAGGCTATTTTGATGTGTCCATAAAGATAAGCAGAACAGCAGATGATTCCATAATGACTGAGGAAGCTGTATATCATTGAGAATAAAGCAATAACTTGCAATACTAAATAAAACATCTACAAATACCTTCTGGTATCTAGTTTACAATATTTCAACCTGCACTGTAGAAGTTATTACTGAATAACAACAACTGCTATTACGACCGCTGACTCCAAACGTTTGGACAGCAAGGTTTGTTTTTCAAGCAATATTTGCTTTCTTAAATTAAAGGACAGAACAGGGGATGATTTTCTTCTGTTTTATCATCTAAATGATCTCCCTCCAGCTTCTCCCACTCTCTCTCCACCCTCCACCCTTTTCCATTTGCAACATGGCAGAGTCCCAGTTGAGAGAGAAAATGAGCGAGAGGGAAAGGGAGGGAGGGAATCAGTGAAAAGCTGCAGAGGCACAGCAAGCATCAAACAGTTTTCCCAACAGGTTACAGGATGTCCAGCACTGTCCTGTGCCCTCTACTGACCTCACATACACACATACACACTCACAGGTACGTCCTCACAGTCTGAGCCGGCCTCCCGGGCTTGGCCACAGTAGGTGTGTGTGGTGGGGTTGTTTGAGGGCGGGGGCACTGTTCAGACGCTCATGTGGAAAATGAGGCATGTGAAAAGCTTGAGCGTGATAGACCTGAGGCAGGTGCTGCACTGGGTCACACACACCCTACTTTCCACCGTCTAACACACATCAGCTGCGTGTGGGTGGGAGGGAGGGTGTGCATTAGTGGTCCTGTTTTGCATGAACCTGACAGGCTTTAGAAATAAGGATGGCTGTGTATACTAGAATAAATATTTGATCTCATCTTACTGAAATAAGGCATGTGTGGTCTAAAATATATAATAATCAAAACAGCAACATCTAACAGCAGTCATATGAAAACACACTGGCAGTCAAATTGTTCACATGCTTGTATGTCAAATACTGATGTTTCGTGACTGTTTTTCATGTATTTATACTGTCTGTTCACTGAACCACAACAAGTAACAGACTTTTCTGCAAGACAATACAAAATGCCACACAGTTCACAAAGTGAAATTCAGGCACGACTTAAAATCCATTGAGATTTTGTGGGGCTATGAAAATGTGTGAAGTAAATTGAGTCTCTATGGATGTTCTATGTAGAGTGTTAGGGAAGCAGTTGCTTTAAATTATTTTAAGCATTAAACTTTAATCTTTAGAAAAGTAGAACACCAGTGTGAGTTTGTATTCAAGACTAGAGGAGCTACAAACTGCTGATAAACACTGAAAACTTTTAATGTGTATTTTGCATTTTGCCATCATTTTTTAGTCATTACAAAAGTTTTAAAAAATAATTTAAAGCAACTGCTGCCTACACAAGCTGTCCACAGACCAGCTATTTATTTTCTCTGCATTTCCCAACATAGACCCACAAGATTGCAAAATGCTCTAAATGTTTCCTGAATTTCACAGAACGTATCTTTTTTTTTCTATTTAAAAATGCAGGTAGCAAATTGGAAAATTGTTTAAAATGCTCATCCCTGCATGTAGTATTGATCCCCAGTGGAAATTTGGATGCAAAAGCAAAACGTAGATACTGTATATGCATAATAAATGAACACATAATAGGGTCTGTTATGATCATTAAAGTTTTCGCTGACAATTAACTGTCATACAAGTATATATGATTAACAACAAAGTGTTTTAATCATCTTTTTAGATCATTTAATGTCACAATAACATAGGCCTCAAGTCTAAATCAGTTAATTAGCTATCTTGCTTACCGAAGTGGATAACACACACATTCACACAAGCGTCTACAATTACACAGACTCAAGCAAAATTTACTTTTTTTCGCTCTCTCTCAAGCATGTGGACTGGCTATTTAGCTATTATGCTGGCTAGTTAGCTTATCTTATTAGCTAATATTAGTTACTGACAAGAATACTGCACTATTCTGCCCACACATACACACATCTTCAGTTCATAGACTCAAGTGCAGAATCAAGTACAGCTTACTTTTTATCTCAAGAGTCTGAAAACGTGAGCAAAAAGACTTGTTTGTGGGTATATGCTAACAAGGCCTTCACATGATTGCAGTGTATTTATACACACAGTGCAAAGACATCTGTGCAGAATTATGACATCAAAATAGGGGACAAAACAACAAAGCGAAGCATTAATATATTTAGTAGTGTATATGTAAACAACAACCACAGTGAAATGCAAACAGAGACTAAATAATAAATAAATGAGTGGTGTGCATATAATTTGGCTTTAGGATGTATGTTATTGTTTGTATACAAAATATGTTCTATTATTCATTTTGAGGATGAAGGGAACAATCATTATGGACCCCTATCAGCACTTCCTAGGAATTCAATGGTGGAATAAGCTGGTATTTTGGATGCCGGGATGCAAGGTGTTACTGGATATCACATGACGGTCAGAATTTGCTACCAAATGATGAAGACATTTTCCTTTAAAGGCTGTACTTGTCTTTAACTGTGCCAACACTTTTACTCTGGATAGTTACATTTGTTTGCATTTTAGTGACATAACCCCAAAGCAGCCAACAGCTAACTAGGACAGTAGGGGTGGGAGATCACTGTTACACTGCTTCACAACATGCTTTTCCTAACATATCACGAATATTGGTGGTCCTTAAAGAACACATTAACCACATGTATCATGACTAAGAAAGCATAATTAGTCCTGTTTAATTGAATTTAGTACAGTGCAGAATGTGGAACATTCATTCAACATTATATATATATATAATATATATATATATATATATATATATATATATATATACTACTTATTACATAAATACCTATTATATAAATAAATATATAACTTATTACACCGTCAAGAAAACTAAACATTGTGATGCATATTGTGAAACACATTGTGAAGGTGCCTTGGATTGTGGTCTTATATTTTGGCCATACCGCTTACCCCTAAAAGGAAGTGATTCGCTGTGCTGTAATGAAAATGCAGCATCAGGGTATATTTGTGAGTCACAGATTGCCATGACAACCATGTTGGCTACCATCTCTGTGGACTGATAGTCCAGTTGAGATGATGCCTTGACCGTCATACGCTCGCTGACAGCAGAGCAGATCAACATAGCATTTCTGTGCTGTTGTGTTCTTGCATTTCCATAATGCAGTACCTTGCAGGACAGAGCGGTGACCCGAGGAGAGCACGGCCGCACTGATTAGCCATATGAGCCAAACCCCTTGCAGCTCCATTAACTTGCAGAGCAGGCCTGGTTCTCAGGAGCTGCAGTTCTACCTGCAGACTCTATCAGTCAGCCTTAATGAGTGGTGTGGGCTGCCTCTTTAACCCAGCGACAGTCAGGCACCTCTAATTACAGCCTGTGTTATCAATCAGCCCAGTGCAGGCTAAAGCATGAGTCCTAATCGCCTCTGGTCAGCGTGCTAGTAAACATGTTGCATAACACCCCCAGTGCGCTGTGTACGGACTGCAGACCCCACCACGTCCCCCAATACACACACGCACACATCCACGCTGGCTGACACCTCCCTCCCTCCTGACTCAAGAATAC